CCACGCGAAGCTGGGGGCGGGGGAGCGCGCGGCGGCGCACGCGGCCTTCCAGAGGGATGACGTGGCGGTGCTGGCGGCGACGATCGCGTACGGCATGGTGAATGGGGCCGCGGGGGATGAGGGCTGTGTGTATATGTGTGTGTGTGTGTGTGTCTCTGTGCGCGCGCCCTTGTATGTGCGTGTGTGAGCGTATTTGCGTGTGAATTGCAGGGCAGTATAGTATGCTTGCGTGTGCACCTGTGTACATGTATGTACGTACGTGCACGTGCGCATGTGCATGTGTGTCCGTCTGCCTGGGTGCAGATACGAGTGTCAAAGCACACCCGTACATCTGCCATGACACCTGCTCAACCCGCCACTAATCGTACATCGCCTTTCCAACCCGCAAACGCTCCTCACCAACCAACCACCCTGCCCAACCATCCCGCCCACCCCCTCCCAAACCAGGGCATTGACAAGCCCAACATCCGCCGCCTGCTGCACTGGGGCGTGCCCTCCTCCCTGGAGGCGTACTTCCAGCAGGCGGGGCGCGCGGGGCGCGACGGCCTGCCTGCAAAGTGCGAGCTGCTCTGGTCCCACGGCGACTTCGCGGTGAGAACTTTTTTTGGGGGGCGTGGCCGCGGGGTGGGCGTGCAGTCATTCTCAGGGTTTGGCTCCCGCTCTTTCGAGCCTGGGAGCGGGAGCCTAGTTGACGTTGAGGCGGCTGCTTCACGTGCGCGAAGCATGGCGGGTCTGGAGCGCGCGGGCGCGCGGCCGCTCGAGCAGGCGGCGCGAAGGCGCAGCACGGCGTCCCCGCAGAGCGCCATGGACACCCGGCCCGCAATGTAGCCCCACAGCAGGCTCTCTCGTCTGGGCCGCGCGCCGCTGCGACCACCGTCCCGCCTTTCGACCAACCCGCGCACCTGGCAACCAAACAACGCCCGCCCTGGGCCGCGCTCGCCCAAGACGCCATCCAATTAAAGCACGAAATCTTATCTCTGCATCCAGGGTCGCTCAAACGTACTCCGCTCCTCTTCCTTTGCTCCCTTTCGACCCCTCAGAAGCAGGACTTCATAAAGGGCCAGGACGGCGGCCTGCGCAACGAGGCGACGCGCGAGGCTCACGAGAGAGGGCTGGCCACGCTGCAGGCCTTCTGCTCCGGCGCGGGCTGCCGCCACGCGGCGCTGGTCAACTACTTCCAGCCG